TCATTAGAACTATGTATAACACTAAACAACAACACCGTACTGCGACCTAGACAATGACGCGGCGCCGACGCAAATAACGCCCACAACAAGAGCACAACTTGTGCTTTACCACCTCAACGATCCCACGAATCGCACCAACCAGTAGCAAATGCTAATGCACAAAATCGTTGGGTATATAGTGATGATGGGGATCGACAATGACGCTGGTATATTGTGGCGGCACACTGACACCCTTCTCCACGGCGACCGCGAAGGAGCGTGCAATGTGCTCCTGCTGTTGTTGCTCTTGTTGCTGTTGCTGGTCATGTTGCTGCAGCTGCTGCGCAACCAAAATATGTTGCTGTTGCGACTGCAGTGGATGTATGGGTTGATGATCCATTTGCGCTGGCTGTTGCTGTTGCTGCTGCTGCGTCTGTGATGGTGGTTGAGATTGAGCTGGCGCCTGTTGCAGTGGAGCGACGTGACTTGCAGCCAAAGCTTGCTGTTGCAGCTGGTGTTGTTGCGTGTGATGATGCGTATGCTGATGATGTTCCAGAAGCTGTAGGTGATGTTGCTGTGATTGCTGCTGTTGCGACGCGGCCGGCGCCACCATAACCGCCTGTTGATGCGAACTGCTGTCCGACAAATAATGCAATTCAAATGTATGACTCAACTCGCTGTACGTCGTCTGCGGTGAAGTGCCGTTCACTATCGACGCATTGCCTGTGGACATTTGTCGATCGCTCTCCGAACTGCTGGAGCAGCTGTTGGAATTCGCGGAGTACGGCCTGTTAAGTGCTGCTGTTGCTGACGCTGATGAAATATCTACCGCCGCATCATAGTAGTAATGTTCGCTGCCTGAGTTGTTATTATTGTTGACTGTGCTAGCAGTGCCAGCGCCGTAGTACCCGCCGCCGCCGCCGGTGGTTGTGTCCGGGTATTGTATCTCATGACCGAGCGCGCTGCCCGAAGAAGAGCTGACGACGAGATCGTTGATCGGCGGGAAGAGCGGCGTATAGGTGAGGTTATCGTGTTGTGGCGGCACTTCGTGGGCATGGGCGTGCGCGTGCGGATGCGGATGTATGTGATGCATATGATGCGCATGCTGCATATGCAAATGTGGCTGTTCGTGCGCGTGAAGATGCGGTTGATGATGATGCGGATGTGGATGCGTATGCTGCGCATGCATTAGATGTGCCGACATGTAGGCATTATTGTTGTTATTATTGCTATTGCCGCCGCCGCCACCACCGCTGCTGCTGCTGCCGCCAGTTAGTACTGGTGTGAGCACATTGGGTGGTAAATGAACGCTAGCGCTCTCATAACAGGGATCCAGTTTAGGACTTACGCTGAGTGCGGCACAGCTGGGTGATGCGCCCGCTGCAAGGCCGTTGCTGAGCGCCGGGTGTGTGACAGTGGCAGGCGCACGCGACGTACGCAAAGATGGCGTCAACGCAGCCGAAGCGGTGATTGGCTCACTCTTAACCACACCCGTTTGGATTTCATTGAGAATCAAGTCTTTGGCCTCCTGCTCACTGCAAAGGTGGATGAAAAAAGGTAAGAGAATTAAAAACACGGAATTAGTAGAGAAACAATGAATACAAAAGAAAATAACATCGGATATGTATGTATGTATTTATGTATGTGGGCATGTAAATAACTATAGATGTGTATGTGCGGGTCTGCATGTAAGCAATTGCCGTTATACATACAGAATTCTTTCGAAAACTCAACTAGGATCATAACAGACGTCCCAAATAGATGTAAAGAATGTTGAAGTTAATACAGTTTTAAAGGATTTTCAAACATATAATAAGCTAAGATGCATCCGCCCGGCTGGTTGATGCGCTCTTGAAGACAAAGGCGGACATCACCGCCATCCAAAGAATGAGATTGACGCTATAAGGTAAAAAATTCTCATCTCACTCATTTGCGCCCACGTTCGACGACGAAGGATTAGGCGTCCAAGGAGCTCCTCCATGAGTGCTGGGAGCGCACATACGAACGCTGCCTCAGTCACAATGGTGATCTCATTGTCAAGGTGGGAAACGGAGTAATCTTTTATTCCACCGTTTGACAATTCAGCTCCACTATGAAATGCCCGATAACGGATCGAAGTTGATCGACTTCGACGGGCCTTGAAACAGCAAACTACGTGGCTCCCTCCAGATCAAAAACAAAAAACCAAATCAGTCTTGTTGTGATAGGCAGAAGACATGCTTCCAGTGTTTCAAGACACGCTCTCAGTATTTAAGACGTGCGTACGATCCGAGGGAAAAAACATAGTATTCGACTACTATCTGGATGCAGCCAAGATGCGCACCAGTCTGTGCAGAAAAAAATGTCCACCCAACAACGCAAGGAAAGCTGCAATCACAACAGACTGCCAGCGTCCTCGACACTGGACTCTCATATCTGTTCGCTGAGAGCACCACATTTTCTGCTTATTACTACCGCCGCCGGCGAAAGGATTGGATTTCAGTGAGTCCGAAAGAACAGTTTGTAGAGAGACAAGATGCCGCATACTAGATAACGCTGCGAATGAGAAGCCCTAATACGTGACTACGAAAAGCTTGAAATGCTGAGCGGTATAGGAAAACCCCCGAAAATTTTATTAGAAAGTTAGGCGACTTACGACATGTTTCAATACGCAAAAAACAAATGTTGCCACGTCTTATTTTGTTCAAAGCAGTTACTTGGATACCTAATTACATGTAGTTATGCCAACCCCAATGAAGTGTCTAACTGCCGTCCCTAAATTGGAGCCCTAAGCGTTGCGTTATCCATTGTCAAACAGTGTCATCGCGCGCTATACCCAAATCAACGCGTCGTCAATTTTGACGTTTTCTCAGGTCCTCTCGTTTTTATTCTCGTTTCCTCTTTCACTTTTTTGTCCTTTCTCTTTCTCTTCGTCTTCTGCATCCAACTTCAGCACGTAACGCCCTGTCAAAAATGAAAATTCCATTTGCTCGGCGTTAGCGCCGCGTTATTGTGGGATGCTTCATACAAATTGTATGGTCATGAGGATTTTTGACAGTTGCTTGGCGCTTGATGCGTCAATTTAGGGATGGCAGTAAAGTGCGAAAGGGAGACCAGTCAGTAGCGAAATTGCTCGCATACAGTCCCGCCTGCTCAATGACGCCCGAATATTATTCTCTTAAAAGTTAATGCAAAAATTATAAAATCTTCATCTTCGTGGAAAAGAATTAGTTGTTTCGAAATTTTTTTAACTCTATATAATATTCGCGATTTCATAGCGCCCAAAGTAATGAGAGTTGCATCTTAAAATTTTGTTCA